GTTGTCTGGTCTTCAACCGAGCTCTGTAACCTCGGTACCAATTTGGATGATCAATGCAGCTCTTATTGCTACAGACACACAGGACACAAAAGTCAAAGAAAAACAGTTACTATGCAGCTATGATGGGGGTAAGAAGGTGCTTCAGGGGAAAAAATAGTCAGTTCGCCTGGATTCCTCGGTTCTACACACATAAAAACTACAATCAATGAGATTTACCCTCATGTTTTGTAAAATGTCCTTGTCTCAAATATTCATAGAAGAATAATGGCATGAATATTGAATAAAATTTTTGGAGCAAGACTACCTGAATTTGAATCCCAGTTCTGCTAATTACCGTCTATGTGACTTTGGGTAAGTTATTAAAACTCTCAAAGACTCAGTTCCCTTATCTGTAAAATGGGGATAATAGCACTTACCTATGGCAATACTTAAGCATATAAAGTCTATGTATGCCCTATGAAGTAGCAATTCCGTTCTTCACTATATACCCCAAAGCAATTGTCACACAGTCCATTAAGGAGACATATGGCGATACAGTGCTTCTTTGTGGCAATAGGAAGTTTGACACCAACACAGCCAGCTGTCTATTGCTAGGACAGAGAATGTGTAACTGTGGTGGATGCACCTATAGAGTCTTATGCCACAAGTGGAAGCAATAGATTCAATAAACCCACAGTAACATGAATGGGTCTTAAAAAAATTGTGCTTCAGTTAGAACAGTTATTAAAAACTTAAAGACAGAATGAAATATAACATGATACCACTTTATATAAATTTAAAATACACATACACAAAACCACAATATACATTTCATAAGAGTATATACAAAGGAAAAGATACACACTAAACATAATAATTGGTTATTTATGGGGAGGGTGACCATCAGGTACATGGGTAAAAGGGAGTAAGCAAATTAATTAACATAAGAAAGGGTCTTGCACAAACCAATGATAACAATGCACAATGAATTAAGAAGTATGATTCACTCCACCTTCTACACCTGATAGTCAATTGACAAGCGATGGATGAAAATGAACACACCTCCCTCTGCATAGAGTTACTGTAAGGACAAAATGAGATACTACAGGTAAAGAGTTTAGCTAAATGACTAACATAAAGCACATGCTAAATAAATGGCAACTATAGTGGTAAGTACTCTCTTATTTGTGGATTATTCAGACCCACTGACTCTCTTCTGGTAGCCTTTGAACTATCCTGTACCTTCATAGAAAGAGATCAGGTGAAAGATGAGATTAAAACATAGTCTCTTATGCCTTCCTCAAGTTTTAGAGTTAAGAGCAATCAACATCAGCTGGCTCCTTTTATTTATGCTGTAATTTTCCCAGTTAGCACATAAAAATTAAGAGTTGACTAAAATGAGAACAATTTGAGTTTTGAAAGCAGAAATCCAGCCTCTAGTCCCAGTATGTTTAGTTTAGTACTGCTGTGATACACCAAGTAGACACTAATCATCTGAGGGTGTTTATTTATGAGCTCCCTCAAGGCTCTTGGGTTTCAGAGACTCTCATTTCATTACTCAGCTTTCAGAAAACCCCGGGAAATAGACATAAGGTCAAATATCAAAATCTTTATAGGGAAAAACCACAGGGAGAAGAAATCGAGTAACTTGTTCAGTGTTGCAAAGCAAATAGTTGGTAGTACCATGGCTGAAATCTCATGTTCTTACCATATCCTTCTGGACAGTAATCTGAAAGATCTGTTCTGTGGAACAGTGACTGTCATGACCAATCAACCCTCACCTCAGTGTTTTCTGTTCACCAAGCACAATGTTCTAGTCCTACTTACTGAGGGTCAAGCAACAGATTCATTCCTGCAGTCCTTGCCACACTGTGAAGCTGAGAAAGACTAACTTACTTAAGGTCATTTAGCCAATAAATGGAAATGGACAGCAGGAATTGAATCTTCATCTGCACAATTATGAAGTGAAATAAATGACCTCTTTCTATTTACTATTAACAACATCAACCTATATATATAAAAGCCTAGGCAACCATTAAGACCTAACAACTGGAATGACCAGAATGACCAGTTGACCAGTCACTATGACGTGCACTGACCACCAGGGGGCAGACGCTTAATGCAGAAGCTGCCCCCCGCTAGTCAGTGTGTTTCCACAGCCAACCTCACATGGCCCCTCCCCCTCCCGCCCAGCCAGCCTCCTGTGGCCTCTCTCCCCACCCTGCCGCCCCCCCCCATAGGCCCTGATCGGGGGGCTAGCTGGCCAATCTCCCGGGGCCCCTCTCCCCAGCCAGCTGGCCCCCCAATAGACCTCAATCACCAGCCAGGCTGAGGGACCCCACTCATGCACGAAGTCGTGCACCGGGCCTCTAGTAATAAATAATCAAGCTTATTATTTCTACAACTGATAATTGAACAAAATAGCTACCATATGTTAAGGTCTATTATAAGACATTAGTCCCAAGTATTATAATCTCCATGTTATACATACAGAAACTTCAGGTTTAGAGAGGCAAGGATCTTGCTCAAGTCATTCACTTAGTATGGATTCAGGTCTTCAAAGTCCAGGGCTCTCTCCACAATATATAGCCAGCTACTTCATTTCCTAATCTATTTGTACCTTTCCTTCCTTGACTAATGGCCACCATTTATTGAGTGCCTACTATGTGCCTAGCTCTAAACCAGACACATTACATATACTACTACTTCTACTCCTCCCCCACAAGGAGAAAGAGGTCATCTAAGTCTCCTCTCCCATTTCTGCCTTGCTGGGACCACAGCCCACTCACCAAGGGGAGGAGTTGTTATTTTGTTTGGTAAGCACACAGTACATTCATGGGCGATTTTTTACTAGTGGATGTGGGTACTGGGCCTTGCAAGGGAAACAGTCATGCTCAGTTCCCTCTTGCATTTCCTCTTCTACTCCAAAGTCAATAAGCTGAGCCACCTTGGCCCCCACTTGGGAATCCACCATCTCTGTTTGGGCTTGTATTCCTATACCTGAGCCTCTACACCCAAGCATGAAGGCCACTTACTAAATTATCATCTCTCACCCCATGCTTCTCTACTTCAGTCAGCTTGCTAGTACTGGAAGCTGGGACTCTGCAGGTCACATTTCCACTTTGCCAATTGCTCCATGTTTGGCTCTGTCAATAGGGCCTGTTGAGGCGAGAGGAGGGACAGGGGACACACTTCTTCCTGTTCCTGTTAGTATAGCCTAGCAAGTGCTCAGATTCTCTTTGTTGCAGCCATTGGATCCAATTTGTAGTTTACCCAGCACTTGTAAAGCCAGTCTCATGGCAGCCCCTCAGAGACACGGGCACCAGTTGAGCAGCCCCCCTTCTCAAAGGTTAGAGTTTCAGTTCTGCAGGAATCCTCCTCCAAGTTTCTAAATTTTAATAATTTCAATCTTTCCCCACTGTTCTCTCAGCCCTAGAGGTGGTAACATTCTTGCAGTTGCTACCTCCACATACATTCAAGTTCTTTTTCTTTATATTTATTTATTGTCTAAAATTTTACATATGTCTCCTCCCCCCACCCCCGCTTGACCCCTCCCCCCCCATTCAAGTTCTTTTTCAGGGACTCTTTCAGTTACCTAGTAACAACTTGATTCCTAGCTGACAGTTGCTTACATTCAGTTCTCTCTATTTAAACCACTCCTGGTTTCTGCCTCCTGACTAAACCCTGCCTGATGAGCTAGTCCCATGGCAGTGGAAAAAGTAGGTCCAGCTTAGGCCCTGGGTAGTCCAGCTCAGGCCCTTACTAGAGTCCCACATTGGGATCTTGAGTACTTGGGCAGTGGCTGATAAAACGGACTTTGATCCTGAACATGAATGCCGCTTACTAAGGTACTGCTGCGCCTTGGGCATAGAATTCTCCCGGCACCCTCTCGAGAAGAGGGAGGAGGGCAGAGCAGGAATGGCATAGCAACATCAGACTTCTAAAACTTCACCACTGCCGGGCACTCTAGCCAGCTCAGGACTCTCTTCTGAAGCAAAAACCTCCAAA